TACTCGTCACTCCTGGGGTGGTACTCGTAACTCGCAGGGTGGTACTCGTCACTCCCATGCTGGTACTCGTCACTCCTAGGGTGGTACTCGTCACTCCCAGCGTGGTACCCGTCACTCCCAGGGTGGTACCCGTCACTCCCAGGGTGGTACCCGTCACTCCCAGGGTGGTACCCGTCACTCCCAGGGTGGTACCCGTCACTCCCAGGGTGGTACCCGTCACTCCCAGGGTGGTACCCGTCACTCCCAGCGTGGTACCCGTCACTCCCAGGGTGGTACCCGTCACTCCAGGGTGGTACCACGGTGGTACTCGTCACTCCCAGGGTGGTACCCGTCACTCCCAGGGTGGTACTCGTCACTCCCAGCGTGGTACCAGGGTGGTACCCGTCACTCCCAGGGTGGTACCCGTCACTCCCAGGGTGGTACTCGTCACTCCCAGGGTGGTACTCGTCACTCCCAGGGTGGTACCCGTCACTCCTAGGGTGGTACTCGTCACCCCCAGCGTGGTACCAGGGTGGTACTCGTCACTCCCAGGGTGGTACCCGTCACTCCCAGGGTGGTACTCGTCACCCACAGCGTGGTACTCGTCACCCCCAGCGTGGTACTCGTCACTCCCAGGGTGGCACCCGTCAGTCCTAGGGTGGTACTCGTAACTCCTAGGGTGGTACTCGTCACTCCCAGGGTGGTACCCGTCACTCCCAGGGTGGTACTCGTAACTCCCAGGGTGGTACCCGTCACTCCCAGGGTGGTACCCGTCACTCCCAGGGTGGTACCCGTCACTCCCAGGGGGGTACTCGTCACCGCCAGGGTGGTACTCGTCACTCCTAGGGTGGTACTCGTCACTCCCAGGGTGGTACCCGTCAATCCCAGGGTGGTACCCGTCACTCCCAGGGTGGTACTCGTCACTCCCAGGGTGGTACCCGTCACTCCAGGGTGGTACTCGTCACTCCCAGGGTGGTACTCGTCACTCCCAGGGTGGTACCCGTCAATCCCAGGGTGGTCTCCGTCACTCGCAGGGTGGTACTCGTCACTCCCAGCGTGGTACCAGGGTGGTACCCGTCACTCCCAGGGTGGTACCCATCACTCCTAGGGTGGTACTCGTCACTCCCAGGGTGGTACTCGTCAATCCCAAGGTGGCACCCATCAGTCCTAGCGTGGTACTCGTCACTCCCAGGGTGGTACCCGTCACTCCCAGGGTGGTACCCGTCACTCGCAGGGTGGTACCCGTCACTCCCAGGGTGGTACCTGTCACTCCTAGGGTGGTACTCGTCACTCCCAGGGTGGTACTCGTCACTCCCAGGGTGGTACTCGTCACTCCCAGGGTGGTACCAGGGTGGTACCCGTCACTCCCAGGGTGGTACCCGTCACTCCCAGGTGATGGGGGATGGATTCGTGAGTGCGGGGGGGGGAGGTTGGGATGAGGGGGGGGGCGAGGGGGGTATCAGTGGGGGGGGGGGGGGATGGCGGCTGCCATGGCAACGCCGGGAAGCTGTCGCCGTGCCAACCAAGCAGGGCTCGCCGCCGTGATGGGATTGTTGATGATGCGGTGGTGGGGGTGGTTATTGTGGTGGTGGTGGTAGTTATAGTGGTGGTGGTGGTTATAGTGGTGGTGGTTATAGTGGTGGTGGTGTTTATAGTGGTGGTGGTGTTTATAGTGGTGGTGGTTATTGTGGTGGTGGTTATAGTGGTGGTGGTTATAGTGTTGGTGGTGGTTATAGTGTTGGTGGTGGTTATAGTGGTGGTGGTGGTTATAGTGGGGGTGGTTATAGTGGTGGTGGTTGTTATAGTGGTGGTGGTTATTGTTGTGGTGGTTATAGTGGTGGTGGTGGTTATAGTGGTGGTGGTGGTTATAGTGGTGGTGGTTATAGTGGTGGTGGTTATTGTGGTGGTGACGTTTATAGTGGTGGTGGTGGTTATAGTGGTGGTGGTTATAGTGGTGGTTATAGAGGTGGTGGTGTTTATAGTGGTGGTGGTTATTGTGGTGGTGGTTATAGTGGTGATGGTTATTGTGATGGTTATAGTGGTGGTGGGGGTGGTGGTGGTGGTTATAGTGGTGGTGGTTATAGTGGTGATGGTGGTTATTGTGGTGGTGGTTATAGTGGTGGTTATAGTGGTGGTGGTTATAGTGGTGGTAGTGGTTATTGTGGTGGTGGTTATAGTGGTGGTGGTTATAGTGGTGGAGGTTATTGTGGTGGTGGTGGTGGTTATAGTGGTGGTGGTGGTTATAGTGGTGGTGGTTATTGTGGTGGTGGTGGTTATTGTGGTGGTTATAGTGGTGGTGGTTATAGTGGTGGTGGTTATTGTGGTGGTGGTGGTGGTTATTGTGGTGGTGGTTATAGTGGTGATTATAGTGGTGGTGGTGGTTATAGTGGTGGTGGTTATAGTGGTGGTGGTGGTTATAGTGGTGGTGGTTTTAGTGGTGGTGGTGTTTATAGTGGTGGTGATTATAGTTGTGGTGGTGGTTATAGTGGTGGTGGTGGTTATAGTGGTGGTTATAGTGGTGGTGGTTATAGTGGTGGTGGTGGTGGTTATAGTGGTGTTGGTGGTGGTGGTTATAGTGGTGGTGGTTATAGTGGTGGTGGTTATAGTGGTGGTGGTCATTGTGGTGGTGGTTATTGTGGTGGTGGTATTGTGGTGGTGGTTATTGTGGTGGTGGTTATAGTGGTGGTGGTTATTGTGGTGGTGGTTATAGTGGTGGTGGTGGTTATAGTGGTGGTGGTTATAGTGGTGGTAGTGGTTATTGTGGTGGTGGTTATAGTGGTGGTGGTTATAGTGGTGGTGGTGGTTATTGTGGTGGTGGTTATAGTGGTGGTGGTTATAGTGGTGGTGGTGGTTATTGTGGTGGTGGTTATTGTGGTGATGGTGGTTATAGTGGTGGTGGTGGTGGTTATAGTGGTGGTGCTGGTTATAGTGGTGGTGGTGGTTATAGTGGTGGTGGTTATTGTGGTGGTGGTTATAGCGGTGGTGGTTATAGTGGTGGTGGTGGTGGTTATAGTGGTGGTGGTGGTGGTTATAGTGGTGGTGGTAGTTATTGTGGTGGTGGTGGTTATAGTGGTGGTGGTTATAGTGGTGGTGGTTATAGTGGTGGTGGTTATAGTGGTGGTTATAGTGGTGGTGGTTATTGTGGTGGTGGTTATAGTGGTGGTGGTGGTTATAGTGGTGGTGGTTATAATGGTGGTTATAGTGGTGGTGGTTATTGTGGTGGTGGTTATAGTGGTGGTGGTGGTTATAGTGGTGGTGGTAGTTATAGTGGTGGTGGTGGTGGTTATAGTGGTGGTGGTTATAGTGGTGGTGGTTATTGTGGTGGTGGTCATAGTGGTGGTGGTTATTGTAGTGGTGGTTATTGTGGTGGTGGTTATTGTGGTGGTGGTGGTTATTGTGATGGTGGTGGTTATAGTGGTGGTGGTGGTTATAGTGGTGGTGGTGGTGGTTATAGTGGTGGTGGTTATAGTGGTGGTGGTTATAGTGGTGGTGGTTATAGTGGTGGTGGTTATAGTGGTGGTGGTGTTTATAGTGGTGGTGGTGTTTATAGTGGTGGTGGTTATAGTGGTGGTGGTTATAGTGGTGGTTATAGTGGTGGTGGTTATAGTGGTGGTGGTTATAGTGGTGGTGGTGTTTATAGTGGTGGTGGTGGTTATAGTGGTGGTGGTTATAGTGGTGGTGGTTATAGTGGTGGTGGTTATTGTGGTGGTGGTTATAGTGGTGGTGGTTATAGTGCTGGTGGTGGTTATAGTGGTGGTGGTTATTGTGGTGGTGGTGGTTATAGTGGTGGTGGTGGTTATAGCGGTGGTGGTGGTGGTTATAGTGGTGGTGGTTATTGTGGTGGTGGTTATAGTGGTGGTGGTGGTTATAGTGGTGGTGGTTATTGTGGTGGTGTTAATAGTGGTGGTGGTTATAGTGGTGGTGGTGGTTATAGTGGTGGTGGTTATTGTGGTGGTGGTTATTGTGGTGGTGGTTATTGTGGTGGTGGTGGTTATTGTGGAGGTGGTTATAGTGGTGGTGGTGGTTATAGTGGTGGTGGTTATAGTGGTGGTGGTGGTTGTTATAGTGGTGGTGGTTATAGTGGTGGTAGTTATAGTGGTGGTGGTGGTTATAGTGGTGCTTAATGTCGTTATAGTGGTGGTGGTTATAGTGGTGGTAGTTATAGTGGTGGTTATAGTGGTGCTTAATGTGGTGGTGGTAGTTATAGTGGTGGTGGTGGTTATAGTGGTGGTGGTTATAGTGGTGGTTATAGTGGTGGTGGTTATAGCGGTGGTCATTGTTGTTACAGTGGTTATAGTGGTGGTTATAGTGGTGGTGGTGGTGGTGGCTGCCATGGCAACGCCGGGAAGCTGTCGCCGTGCCAACCAAGCAGGGCTCGCCGCCGTGATGGGATTGTTGATGATGCGGTGGTGGTGGTGGTTATTGTGGTGGTGGTGGTGTTTATAGTGGTGGTGGTGGTTATAGTGGTGGTGGTGGTGTCATTGTGGCAGTGGTGGGTGTTGTGGTGTTGGTTATTGTGGTGGTGATTATAGTGGTGGTGGTGGTCATAGTGGTGGGTGTTGTGGTGGTGGTTATAGTGATGGTGGTTATAGTGGTGGTGGTTATAGTGGTGGTGGTTATAGTGGTGGTGGTTATAGTGGTGGTTATAGTGGTGGTTATAGTGGTGGTTATAGTGGTGGTGGTGGTGGTTAGAGTGCTGGTGGTGGTTATAGTGGTGGTGGTTATAGTGGTGCTTAATGTGGTGGTGGTGGTTATAGTGGTGATGGTGGTTATAGTGGTGATGGTGGTTATAGTGGTGGTGGTTATTGTGGTGGTGGTGGTGTTTTTGTTGGCGAGGGTGGTTATCGTGTGCGTGAGCCTGCTCATCACGAGGGGTGGTGGTGATTGGTGCTGTGTGGTCTGGCCTAGGGGTACCCCCAGCGGCAGCTGTCCCTGTGCGTGAGCCTGCTTATCACGAGAGGTGGTGGTGATTGGTGCTGTGTGGTCTGGCCTAGGGGTACCCCCAGCGGCAGCCGTCCCACCTTCGGTGCTGAGGCCTGGGCTGGATGTGAACTTGGCCACGTCCACGATCTTGACGGCGAACTGCTGCAACGTCTCCCGGTTGATGCATCGTCGCACCACGCTGAAGGGGCCCCTGCAGGCGGTGGCGAGCACAACAACAACAATCAGCGTGGCACAACCACAACCAGCGTGGCACAACCACAACCAGCGTGGCACTACCACAACCAGCGTGGCACTACCATAACCAGCGTGGCACTACCACAACCAGCGTGGCACAACCACAACCAGCGTGGCACAACCACAACCAGCGTGACACAACCACAACCGGCGTGGCAGAACCACAACCAGCGTGGCACAACCACAACCGGCGTGGCACTACCACAACCAGCGTGGCACAACCACAACCAGCTAACCACTGCACCATTCGCCACAAACATTATCCACACACAAAGACAAAGACTCCCCGTGTAGCCTGTAACAGACTGTAGGGGCAAGTGCTGTTAGCGAGCGCCTTTGAAGGCCGGCACTGTGGCACACGAGGGGGTGGGTGGCCAGCACCACGCCCGGCCGCCTTTGTCTCCCCAGCGGCGAAGTTTACTACACACTGCACCAGGTACTCATTTGAGGCTGAGTCGACCTAGGGGAGGCCCAGGATCGGTTCAGATAATCGTCACTGGTATTGGCCGTGAGCGGGAATCGAACCCGAGTCGCCAGGTTCATAGCGCAGCGTAGCGCTAACCGCTACACTACCGCTCCCCACACACACACACACTCAGACACAGACGCACACAGAGACACACACACACACAGACACACAGAGACACACACACACACACACTCAGACACACACTCAGACACACACACTCAGACACAGACACACACTCACGTACATACACACACTCACGTACATACACTCACTAAGACACACACACTCAGAGACACACTCAGACACACACACACTCACACACTCAGACACACACTCACGTACATACACACATTCACGTACACACACTAACATGTAAACACACTCACGTACATACACACACACACTCAGACACACACACACTCAGACACACACACACACTCAGACACACCCCCCATCAGACACACACACTCACGTACACACACACACTCACGTACACACACACACTCACGTACACATACACTCAGACACACACAAAGATCCCCCATATAGCCTTAACAGACTGTAGGGGCAAGTGCTGTTAGCGAGCACCTATGAAGGCCGGAACGGTACACGAGGGGGTGGGTGGCCAGCACCACGCCTGACCGCCTTTGTCTCCCTAGTGGCAATGTTTACACACCGCACCAGGTACTCATTTGAGGCTGAGTCGACCTAGGGGAGGCCCGGGACCGGTTCAGATAATCGTCACTGGTGTTGGCCGTGAGCGGGAATGGAACCCGGGTCGCCAGGTTCATAGCGCAGCGCGCTAACCGCTACACTATCGCTCCCCACACACACTCACGTACACACACACACTCACGTACACACACACTCAGACACACACACACACACTCACGTACACACACACACTCACGTACACACACACACTCACGTACACACACGCACTCCCACCCGCTGGAGTAATGACCGCAGTCACTGCTAAGAGGCCAGAGTAACGGCCAGGCAACAGAATGGCAAATTGCGACGTTGGTAGCGCTCCGTGTGGACAGAACAGCCTGCACTGGAGTCCCTCACTCACTCACTTAGTCACTCATTAATCTACTCACTCATCCACCCACTCATTCATCCACCCACTTATCCACCCACTCATCCACCCACTCATCCACCCACTCATCCACCCACTCATTCATCCACTCATTCATCCACTCATTTATCCACCCACTCATTCATCCACCCACTCATTCATCTACCCACTCATTCATCCACCCACTCATTCATCCACCCACTCATTCATCCACCCACTCATTCATCCACCCACTCATTCATCCACCCACCCACCCACTCACCCACTCACTCATCCACCCACTCATTCATCCACCCACCCACCCACTCACCCACCCATTCACCCACCCACTCACCCACTTATTCATCCACCTACTCATTCATCCACCCACCCACTCACCCACCTATTCACCCACACACTCACCCACTCATTCATCCACCCAATCATTCATCCACCCACCCACTCATTCATCCACCCACTCATTCATCCACCCACCCACCCACACACTCACCCACTCATTCACCCACCCTCTCATTCATGCACCTAGCCACCCACTCAGTCATTCATCCATCCACTCATTCACCCACCCACTTATTTATGCACCTATCCGCAAACGCACTCATTCATCCACCCACTTATTCACCCACCCACTCATTGATCTACCCATCCACCAACGCAATCATCCACTCACCCTCACCCTCACCCACCCCCTCAATTAACCTACTTGGTTGACATCTCCACGGGGAGAGATAGAGACAAACTCCAAATATACAGCAGCAGCAGGCATCGTCAGGGTCGGAATCGAAACCACGACCTCCTGCATACCAGGCGAGGTAGTCAACATCTCCTGGCCATCGTGGAGTGGCTGATCCAATCGACGAGACCCTTGTTGCCGATGTCAAAATTATGATTAAAAAAGATAATCATCGGCTTCTCAACCTTGCCGGGAAATGAGACACGAGGCGTTCAGATGTTCAGACACCAAAGGGACACCCCTCACAGCCACGAGGCATTAACCACACGTACCTTTGGTAAAACGTGCGAACAAAACACACTCTGGCAATGAACGCATTGTCCTGCACGGTGCATCCAGCACACGCACAATGCGGGGTCAACCCCAAACCTGTGCACGAATTGTCCCTGGAACTGAACGGAATGCGCCAGGCGCTAAACCTTTCTCTTAATGGCAGCCACTGTGCCACAGCTTTCATAAGCTGCTGCTGCTGCTGCTATTCGCTACTAAAAGCACTTTCTCCTACAGGCCTGTTGAAGGCTAGATGGGGTACATTTGTCTTTGTACAGGTGCCCGCGAGCGACAGCACTTGCCCCTCCAGCACAGCTCCAAACTGAACCTCGCACAACGTGGGCCAACGTTTTGGGCGACGAGCCCCTTGCCCATTCTTCGAAAGCCTTACTCCCACAGCTTGTCATCCCACCCCCCCCCACCGTACCCCCCCCACCCAGCCCACCACCCCCCCCACCCAGCCCCCCACCCCCCCCACCCAACAACGCCGCCCTTCGAACCCCAGCGAGTCCCGATCTTTATTCGGGCGAGCAGAAGCAATACCGCACATCAAGGGTTTGGACCAAGCGTTCGCAAAGCTGATTTCTCATGGGCCGCAGGTAATTAAAGACAAAGATCCCCCATATAGCCTTAACAGACTGTAGGGGCAAGTGCTGTTAGCGAGCACCTATGAAGGCCGGAACGGTACACGAGGGGGTGGGTGGCCAGCACCACGCCCGACCGCCTTTGTCTCCCTAGTGGCGATGTTCACTACACACCGCACCAGGTACTCATTTGAGGCTGAGTCGACCTAGGGGAGGCCCGGGACCGGTTCAGATAATCGTCACGGGTCTTGGCCGTGAGCGGGAATCGAACCCGGGTCGCCAGGTTCATAGCGCAGCGCGCTAACCGCTACACTATCGCTCCCCATTAAGACAAACACAGACACACACCCAGCCACCACGTGGACACCACCACCGCCACCACTACTACTACCACCACTACTACCACCACTGCCACCACTACTACCACCACTACTACTACCACTACTACCACCACTACTACCACCACCACTGCCACCACTACTACCACCACTGCCACCACTACTACCACCACTGCCACCACTACTACCACCACCGCCACCACTACTACCACCACTACTACCACCACTACTACCACTGCCACCACTACTACCACCACCACTGCCACCACTACTACCACCACTGCCACCACTACTACCACCACCGCCACCACTACTACCACCACTGCCACCACTACTACTACCACCGCCACTACTACTACCACCACTACTGCCACCACTACTACCACCACTACTGTTACCACCACTGCCACCAGCACTACCACCACTGCCACCACTACTACCACCACTGCCACCACTACTACTACCACTGCCACCACTACTACCACCACCACTGCCACCACTACTACCACCACTGCCACCACTACTACCACCACCACCACCACTACTACCACCACTGCCACCACTACTACTACCGTCACCACCACCGCCACTACAACTACCACCATTGCCACCACCACTACTACCACCACCGCCACCACTACTACCACCACTGCCACTACTACTACCACCACCGCCACTACTACTACCACCACTGCCACTACTACTACCACCACCGCCACTACTGCTACCGCCACTGCCACCACTACTACTACCGCCACCACCACCACTACCACCACCACCACCACCACCGTCACCGCCACCACTTCCATTATTACCACAACTTCCACTGCCACCGCCACCATTACTACCGCAAGAGCTACCACGACCACCACCACTACCCCACCACTACCACGGTCAACACCACCAACCACCACCACTACCACCACCACCACAACCCCCACCCCACTACCCCTGCTGCTGTGCTGCTACCACCCCCCACACTCCCCGACCTCTTCCATGAGCCCCCTCCCAAAGTGGGGCGGGGCCTATGCAGAAAGGGGCGGGGTCTACGGAGGAGGGGGCGGGGCATAAAAAGGAAAGGCGCAGAAGAGACGTGGGGCCGTAATCAGGAATGGCTGCAGCCTAATCAGGAAGAATCATCATCTTGATTTAGGACTGGAGGAATCCGATGAGCGTTGAAGCTCTTTTTCACAAGATGTCCAGAGGTGTGGCCTAAAAGAGGAATGGGCGGGGCCTAGCGAGGAAGGGGTATGGCCTAAGTGGGAAGGGGCGAGGCCGAAGCAGGAAGGGGTGGGGCGTAAGCAGGAAGGGGTGGGGCCTATAGAGGGTGACTTTCCCTGTTGATTCAAGGCATCTGCGGCGGGTAGGACGGCTTTAGTGCGGCAGATGCAGCGACACGCTGAGCGAGTTCCAACGATCGTAACAACACGATAGAGGAGGAGGAGGAGGAGGGGGAATCCAAGGAGCTACGAAGCTCTTTT